GGCGTTGTAGGACCTGACGTTTCGCCAGCAGCAGCTGCGACTGGCATCCTCAGAGGTATAAACACAGAAAGATGGAGGTTCCTGTCCTGAAAAAGACAAAAGGCTCCACATCTGACAATAGCACTACAGATAAGATTAGAATTTCAACAGCCAATCCACGTGCAAAAGAACCTCCTCGGGAAACAATCCGTATACAAAAGAACCTCCTCAGGAAAGCTCCTCCATTAGCATGTTTCACAGCCTGGGGAACTCCTATAAGATAATGACTCAGCCCTACCCCACCTTCCTGAGTAGATATAAATTACCTCCCTACCATTTTCTTCTCACCTTGACACAGAGAGTCCTCCATCTTTCTGTGTTTATACCTCTAAGGATGCCAGTCACGGCTACTGGCGAAACATCAGGTTCTACAATGCCCAGACCACAGCCACAGAACCCAGAAAATCTACAGCAACTATTTATTAATTATTATTAATTATTATTATTAAGGTGATGGGCACAACCCCAGAATGGGTGCTGCGGGGGGCTGAGCTGACCACAGAATGTCAGGGAGGGAGATTGTGGAGGTGATAGAAGCTCTGTTTATTTTTTTTTTTTTTTAAGTTTATTAACTGATTCAACCATAACATATCGCCCACAACATAATATAATTACATTATATGGACATATACACACACAGACTAAAACCTAGTTTTACATCATGTATTTTAGGAACAGACCTAAAACAAGATAGATTCCAGATGTTTTGAAGATATTTTACATTCCGCAGAGGGATTGTTATTTACATAATCTCTAAAAGGATACCACTTTCCCACAAAAATTGGGTTTTTTTAACCTGGGGTCGCCATCAACAATATTCGTGTAGCTATTTTTATCCTGAATAGCTATATCCCACACTTTCTGGAACCACGATTCTAGTGAGGGTATTTTCCTAGATTTCCATAACTGGCTAATAAAGATTTGCCAGCGACTAACAGAAGATAAATGAGCTCCCTACGCAAAGGAGAGAATGAGTGGTTTAATAAAAATTTAATAGAATGGATTCAGGAGTTAAAGGAACATCACTGCCTACTATTTCTGAAATTTTAGAGACAACTAAAGACCAGTAATTTTGGACTTTAGGGCAAGGCCACCAGCAGGTTCCTGACTCTCCACATCCCCTCTAGCAATTTGAGTTCAATTGAAATTTACTTCTAAAAAGCTTTACAGGTGCTAAATACCACCTCGCAAATATTTTAAATTGCAATAAGCTTATATTAAGGGATTTACTGCAAAATACATTTGAGGTCCATATCTTTTTTGTTTGTTTGTATTTTTTATTCAAAAAGATGTGCAATCTTTTTTTTAATTCAAAAAGATGTACAACAATAGAAAACATCATAATAACATTTTACATTTTGGTTGAAAGAGAACAACGAACATTTCAAGCAATAAGTAATAACAACATGTGCATAGCAAGATCATATAAAAATGTAAACAAGGGAAACTGTTTCTAGCAGGTTTTAAATATAACAGTAGTATTTATTTGATGCTGATGAACAAGACTGACCGTCCAGATAGAAAGTTAGGTGTAGACCATGAGCTAAGTTCCAACAAATGAGCTTTGTGAGGTATACCTATGTTAAGGGCGTATGGGAAAACGAAGTTACTGAGAGAATTCTTCTTTCTTTGACAAGCCTTTATTGGCATATGTATATACATACAATAGGAAATCAGATTAAATATAGATCAGAAAATACAAATCCATATAGGGTAAAACTGGAGCTACGGCGCAGAAAAACAGCATGAAAGCAGAAAAACCTAATGGTTACTTATCAGAACGTATAGCCGTAGCACTAAGAAGAAACTTTGCTACTATTTTGGTTATTTCCGTATCTGGATTATCAAGCAAAAACAGAACCTTGAAATAGGCAGGAATATCTGAGAATTGAGCTAATACAGAAGATCCTGGCAGGGCACCAGATAAATGGGACATTGAAGGAGAACACGGGGGACAGTTTCAACACAGTCCTTCTTACAAGGACCACACCTGCTGTACTGAGAGAATAAAGAGTAAAAATAAAAATAAAAGTCACCACTAAGGATCGGATGAAGAGGACAGATGACGAAGGTAACAGGTAGGCCTCATAGCCCTTGAGGTCCATATCGGAGTCCACTCTGCTTAACAGGGTGCCTTTTTAAAATGAGCCTATTATCTTAGAAAAGAGCAAGAGTCCGGGAGCACCCAGTGGCAGACAGGGGATGTGCTTTCTCGAGGTCAGCGGTGACTCCCCAAAGCTCCCCCCCTGCCACAAATTGTGTTAGTCTTTAAGGTGCTGCTGGACTCTGGCTCTTCTCTGCAGACAGACAAACACAACTACCCATCTTGATCTGTCTCCATGGAAGGCACCACGTGTATCCATACAGAGTGGAAGTCCAGGTATCTGAAGAAGTGAGCAGTGACTCCCGCTTCCCATCTGGGAGGTGTTTCTCTCTGCGTGTGCCGCCAGCAGCCCAAGTCCTCCGGCTTCCTTTGTCCCTTCCCATCTCCGTGCTTGCGGCCTTTCCTCACGCCCCCCCCCTCTGACCTCCTCCTTCTCTCCACACCCACCCCCTTTGCACACACCCCCCCCCACCCCAGAGAGCAGGAGGACTGCGAGATCGCGCAGGAAATCCAAGTCAAGCTGGTCATCGAAGCGGAGCAGAGACGGCGGCAGGAAGAGGACGATGAGGTGAGCGCAGGGGAAGGGGCCTCCCCACCCCCCCCCAAGCCGGCCAGCTGCTCTGCTGGGGCAGCTGCAGAAACAGCCCCACCCAAAAGGTCACTGCAAAAGGTCAACAGGGACTATTTCGGGAGCCGGGAAGGGGGATGCAGCCACGCCCCATCTTGTAGTGTAGCCCTTCCAGCTTCTAGCACATGGCAGCTTTTGCAGGCTGCCCGTTGGGCTTTGGAAAGGATTCGGAGGCGACATTACTCTCAAAAGAAAAAAATAGAGACCTGTGAAACGCTACCAGAGAGAGCCAGTTTGGTGTAGAGTGATTAAGTGCAGGCAGACTCTAATCTGGGAGAACCGGGCTTGATTCCCCCACTCCTCCTCCACTTGCACCTGGCTGGATGACCTTGGGCAAGCCGTAGTTCTGACAAGAGCTGTTCTGGGCATAGAGCAGGGGTCACGGGAGGGAGAAGGGGTGGGTGATGAGACTTCCTGTGTTGTGCAGGGGGTTGGACTAGATTGCCCTTGGGGGTCCCTTCCCAGCTCTCTGTTTCCCCTCCCGTCTCTGTAGGATATTGCACGGATTCTACAGCGGAAGGAACTCCAGGAAGAAAAGAGGCGGATGAAGCCTCCCCCCCCAGCAGAGCCTTCGAGGCACAGCCCTTACGAAGACGCTCCCTACCAAGACGGCAGAGGTAGGGATGCACCTCCGGAGGCCGAAAGCGTGCCGTGGAGGGGGGGGGAGGGGTTTCCCTCTGTTTTTGCAGCCTGGTTTCAGGCCCCCGAATTGGGCACTCTGGGCAGCAGGAGGACTGCAGCCTTCCGACACCAATTTCCCTGGTTGGTTCTCTTTCACTGGCTGCCGTGCAAGGCCTCTGAGAGACTGTGGCAGGTTTCAGAAGCCGTCCAGCAGGAGGCGGGAATGTCAAAGGCTGCCTCTGGGGGGTACGGCAGACTGGGTGCTTCTACTTTCTTTCTTGAGTGTTTTTTTGAGTGTGAGTGGCGTATGTATCTCGGGGCTTGTGGGAGCGGCACTGTTGGTGGGAGGCTTGCTTGGGAGCGCATAATGCGGTGGCGGGCGAAGTGTCAGCAGGTGCTGGTTTAGTGGAGCTTTGGGGCTGCCAAAGCGGCGGGGCCTAATTGGTGGTGGTGCGACCGGAAATGAACTGCGGTGTGCCGGAGGTGGTCCGAAGAGCAGCACGGGTGCGCAGCAGGAGCCCGGACGCTCACAAGATGCTGGATGCAGCGCTTGCCGAAACGCATTTCCAATCACTGTCCACTGTCGCCTTTGGCAAGACTGTCTCGCCAGACTGGAAATTTCAGGGAGCCGACCTGCAGGCTGAACTGCCTTTTCTTCGCTGGGAATCACTTGGGGATGAAATGAGCTCCAGTCTCAAGGACTTTCATGACTTAGGAGATTGGGAAGCTTCTTTGCAGTAGCAGCTAGCGGTGGTGGTTTCTGTGGCACACACCTCTTCGGATCTGTATGCTTCCTCTTTCGCTTGCAGGTGGCGGGGAAGTAGCTGGCCCCTTTTGAGGGCCCTTCCGGCTTCCTGAGTCTCTGCTTTGTCGTCGCTTTTCCCAACTGCTTCCAGTTTCCCAGAGCTGTGTTGACAAGTAGCCCCAGTCCATGAGAGATTTGCCTGAACAAGCCGCATGGAAATGAAATGCGCCCGTCTCCCATGAACCCACGAAGGCTGCCTTGTGTGCAGTCAGATCCGGCCCGGTCTGGACCACTCTAGGTCCATTTTGTCACCTCTAATGGGCAAACTCTGACCTGGATGGCCCAGGCTAATCTGATTGCATCAGATCTCAGAAGCTAAGCAGGGTCGGTCCTGGTTGGCACTTGGATGGGAGACCGCCAAGGAACTTCCGGGTCGCTAGGCAGAGGCAGGCAAGGGCAAGCCACCTCTGAATGACTGAAAACCCCATGGTCCTGGGGTTCCCATGAGTCACTTATTTATTTATTTCATTCGATTTAACTGCGACACTGTGACACACAGTTATTATTAAAGCCCTAACCAATGCTCCCTCTAAGCCAGTGGTGGCGAACCTATGGCACGGGTTCCAGAGGTGGCACTCAGAGCCCTCTCTGTGGGCACGCGTGCCATCGCCCCAGCCGGGCCCAGACCATCATTCAAGTGTCGAATTCTCTGCCAAATAATGTTAAGTAAATGAAAGCATTTGGGATTGCTTTCCTTACTTTGTTTGGATCATCTTATGTTAATGTATGAGTTGTTTTTTCTAAAGTAAAACCTCAGTATTCAGGTTAAATTGCCGTGTTGGCACTTTCCGATAAATAAGTGGGTTTTGGGTCGCAGTTTGGGCACTCGATCTCTAAAAGGTTCGCCATCACTGCTCTAAGCTGTGGGGTCTTGTGAGCAAAAATTCTGCTTTGCGAGCTCCTGGCATTGAAGTTGTGAGCGAGCGATTTGGCTGCTGCATCAATTAGTTCGCTCTGGAGCCATCCCTTCCTGAGCGAAGACAACAATGTATGAGCCGGAGGCTAAAAGCCTGTGAGCTGGCTCACACTCACTCAGCTTAGAGGGAACACTGGCCCTAATCGGGGTAGCCCAGGCTAATCCAGTCTCGTCTGACCTCGGAAGCTACACAGGGTCAGCCCTGGTTAGTGTTTGGATGGGAGACCACCACGGAATTCCAGGGTTGCTAGGCAGAGGCAGGCCAGGGCAAACCCACCTCTGAATGTCTCTTGCCTTGGAAACCCCATGAGGGGTCACCATCAGTGGCATAAGGAGGGTGGCAGCTCTCCAAGACTGGACAGCAGATGCTTGGGGTGAACCCTTTAACCTCTGTTCTGGCACATGGCTTTATGGGCCACCTTTAATGCCTCGTGCAGAAATGACTGGTGGGTTTCTGGCCTGTCTTCTTCCCCTTCCCCTGCATGCCCTAAGTAATCTTTCATTTACCCTTGAAGTCTGACCCATCAGAACAGCCAGCAGTTCAGCCATAACTTCAGGAGTCTTGCTGGATGAGACCGGCGAGGGTCCACCTGGTCCAGCATCATGTCTCACGCAGTGGCTGGCCCCGTCCCGCCTCTTGAGTAGGGGTGTGCATTCGGGTTTCCCAAACAGAAAAAAAACCCGAAAAAAGTCTTTTCGGGTTTTTTTTGGCTTTTTGGATACCAAAAAGGCTTCCCTGAGCCTTTTCGGATATCCGGGGGGAAACCCGGAAAAAATTGGGTTTTTTCCGGCTTTTTTTGGGATTCCAGAAACCGGCCTCTAGGGGGGGTTAAAGTTTAAAGGGCGCCAGGAAACTACATTTTCCCACCGTTTCCCCCTCTTTCCCGCTTCTTGCTCCTGTTTCCAGGAAGGAGGGGGAAAGAGGGACCTTGCAGACAGCCAATCACTGCAGTGTATTTCAAAATGCATTGCAGCTTGCAAATTTTTGCAAGACTGTGACCCTCCAGCTCTTGTTTTGCACCCCGGTGAAGATCTTGTTGCTTTTCAGTTCTGGGACTCAGACTTGATTCGTGGCAGGGAAACCTGTGCCTGGGGTCCAGCTGTCTCTGGTCAACGAGTATAAATAATCAAAGCAGGGGCCTCAGAGGCAGCCTCCTGCTCTCATCCTCTCCACCCTCCTTTTATGGGTTCTCCTCTGCTTTTGGGGCTGGGAGTAGGGAAGGCTGGCTCAAGGGGTGGGTGGGATGTCCTTGCGGGAGTGGAAGGTGACCTGGTGCCTCTGCCACACCTTGAAGGCATTCTGAATTCCCTGGGGGTGGTGACTCTCAGGTTATTTCGGGGGGGGGGGTCCTGCTGCTCCAAATGGCCCAGATGTAAGGGAATATTTTATTTTACACAGTGAGTTATTGAGATGTGAAAATCTGCTGCCAGAGGATGTAGTGATGGCCACTGGCATGGATGGCTTTAAAAGGGATTAGATATATTAATGGAGAATAAGTCCATTAATGGCTACCAGCCATAGTGGCTGAGCAGAACCTCCACAGTTTGGTGTAGTGGTTAAGTGCGCGGACTCTAATCTGGGAGAACCGGGTTTGATTCCCCACTCCTCCACTTGCACCTGCTGATGTGACCCTGGGTCAGTCACAAGCTCTGGCACAGCTGTCCTTGAAAAAGAGCAGTTTGTGTCAGAGTTCTTTCAGCCCCACCCACCTCACAGGGTGTCTGTTGTGGGGAGGGGAAGGGAAAGGAGTTTGTAAGCCGCTCTGAGACTCCAAGTGAAGGGCGGGGTATAAATCCAATCTCTTCTTCTCTTCTCTCTTCCACATTCAGAGGCACTAAACCTCTGAATCCCAGAGTGAGGAGGCAACATCAGGGGAAGGCCTCAGCTTCCCTGCCCTGTTGCTGGCCCTCCAGAGGAACTGGTTGGCCTCTGTGAGACAGGAAGCTGGACTAAAGGGACCCTCACTGGTCTGATCCAGAAGGGCTCTTCTGATGTTCTTCTCAGGGGAAGGCCTCGGCCTCCCTGCCCTGTTGCTGGCCCTCCAGAGGAACTGGTTGGCCACTGTGTGAGA